TGGCGAATCTTATATGTGTTGTTCTTGTCCTAAATGTTAACATTCATTACCAACCTTCGTGTGATTATTCTATTCAGTAACCTTCCCCGGGTTACAACACTAACCATTTACACTTTTGCAATGACGTATTGCCACTTCTATTTTGAGTAAAATTCTACAAATTTTGGCGTGAACATGTTTTCGACAAACACTTGCATCTGGTTTAAATTAGATAATACTTTCTTCATCACAGCATTTTGCAACGACCAAAAAGGTAATAATCGAGTGTTGCAAAGTTAGGTAAATATAGCAGGTGGAACAGAGCAGACCAACCGAGTTCCAAAAGTGTTCTTTTTTTCTTGTGTTATTCTTGCTGTATGGGTCATGTACTCAACAACATGTTTCCTTTATTTCACTGTGTACGCTGCTACTGTTTTTAAATACAACGTATGTTTAGTAGTTACGGCTATGACATTCGTCATTACACTTCCCTGAAGAGAAAAATACTTATGACTCAACAGAATACGATAAGATTGACTGGAATAACTTAAATATATTATTGTAAGAGTCCGCATACTTTAAAGATATGAGATCACCTTAATTATTAGGTCAGAGGTATATTATTAAATTATTATGACATGACCCCTGCTAGCCTGGAAAATGGACACCGGATATGGCCCTGGAAGCAAAGGCTACCGAAAAGTCGACGGTGGAATTCTATATTTATAGTATTCCATAATTTAGCCTGACGAAAATGTAACGAGCGCCATTTTCAAGGCTAATCGGCGATAATGCTAAAATGTAATTAAAAATGCAATCACAAAAGGATGGACGACATCGTCGTCATAATCATCACAGCTGGAGCTACAACAACAACAATTACAACAACAACAACAATAATAATAATAATAATAATAATAATAATAATAATGTTTCTTATTACTCGGCTCTTTCTACTGTCGACGAGAAATTTCATTATCACATTAGTAAGAAAATCGAATCTCCTCGATTTGATTGACAATTACGTGGAGAACAATTCTATATTTGGGTAGAGAAAACCTTTGCTGATTTCAAAAGAATTTGAGTTTCACAATTAACGCTATTAGCAATTATTTGCCTGTCTTAGACAAAGAGAAACGCTATATATTTATATATATATATATATATATATATATATATATATATATATATATACGTATATATATACGTATATATATATATATATATGTGTGTGTGTGTAGTCATACATGTAGGAGGCGAGAAATTACTGGCAATGCACAAGATTTGTGCAGCGATAATTGATTTAAATATATATATATATATATATATATGTATATATAATATCTATCTATGTAGCTAAATATATATATATATATGTGCAAATTAGAAAATATTGATATATTAAATTCATATATGAGGAATATATATATATATATATATATATATATATATATATATATATATATATATATATTCCTGCATTCATATTTCTATCGGAATATATTTAAGAACAATATATATATATGTGTCAATATATATATATATATATATATATATATATATATATATATATATATATATATATTAATTTTTTAATATTTTAGTATACATATTTTTATAAAATACTATATATTCCTTAAATATATTTTTCAGTCATATCACAGTATTTTATATATATATATATATATATATATATATATATATATATAGATATGTGTTTGTCCCAGGGACATTCATTGTTCTTTGTTACATATTTCTATCACATCTTATTTGAGGAATAATATATATTTAATCATATATATCTATTCTTATATGAATATATATGTATATTTTCATACATACACACACACACACACACACACACACACACACACACACACATATATATATATATATATATATATATATATATATGTTAGAACAGAATTAATGTGGAGAAAACTTTTCAATTTACTGAGTGGTGTGATTTCCTTCATTTCGACTTCGAAGTTTCACGAGTGCATTGTTGTTATGCCTTCACTCTGCAATTAAAGAAATAGGTGAATGTGGCTCTCCCCAACGTCCTATCCCGTGCATCTCTAACTAATGATCCTTTATTCACCACTCACCTAGTTCTCTTTCAGTCATTCCTTTAAATAAGATCGGTGTTGAAGCGGTCGTCATTTTTTTTATATATATAAATCTATATTGTTGTTTATTTTATTACAAAGATTTACCGTTGAATTTTAATTGTGGGGTCACTATTTGCCCACAGCTGGGACCCTAACAGGTGCTATCACCTCCGGTTAGGGTGCATCTAAGAACAACTGCAGTTTAGTAGTGACTCTAAGCTCCTCAAACCTCCAATCTCCCGACCAGAGTCCTTGCTCCCGGATGTTGTCTATCGTCTTAGCCATGACGATTAACTGATACGCGTTATCTCCCGTAACTGATGTGAGGTATCTCCCCTAACAGATATGAGTTATGTCCCTTAAGCATAGAAAGTTGAATGAGAACATTCTGAGTCCGTTGAATAAATAAAGTGTTATTATATTAAATCGTAACAACAAAATTGTCTAAATAGTGTAATAGCAAAATTGTCCAATTGTTACAATAAAGCCTCAATCTTAGAAATGATTAATGATATCTCCAAGATTTTTATACGACTATAAGACTCTAATCTTTGCAGCTATGGAAAGAAATATAAAGAGGAGACAGGCCGCCCCCTTATGGTAAGGCTTCAAGAATACCAGAAAGCTGCAACACGAGGCAAATTGGAAAAATCAGGCGTGGCTGACCCCATATGGAGAGAAAAGGGAAATCACCGCCCTCTGTGGGATCAGGTTGAGATCATAGACAAAGAAAACCATTGCAAAATTCGTAAGCTTAAGGAATCAGCACATATGCTAGGCCACAAAAATCTCCAGAGCCGACCAAGCAAAGAAATGAATACAATATGGGAACCAGTAATAAGGAGTGCCAGAGAAAAGCGATAATAACAAAAAAATGCAATATGAGCTCTGGTAGATAATGGTTGCTGAAGACATTAGGTTTATAATACCCAGAAATTCATACACAGATATCCTCAAAATGGCACAGTGGATAAAGGCGTTGGTTACATCCAGTGTGAGTTCAATACCTGGTTAAGGCAGTAGAGAACTTGGAGAGGGGAATTAACAGGATTAACTGATAACTGACATCCATTAAACATGGCACGTGGAACTAGAGCGAAATAAAGGGTTCAGTTCGACATTCCAACCACCTGAAGAAGGCCGGTGTGTACAATGGCCGAAACGTTGTAATAAATATGGCGACAAAGATGAGGACAATAGTCTGTTTAATGTAGATAGTGTACATCATCTCAGAAATATAAACAGATACTGAAGTGCCGAAACGTTGTAATAAATATGGCAACAAAGATGAGGACAATAGTCCGAATAATGTAAATAGTGTACATAATACCTCATCTCAGAAATATAGACAGATACTGAAGGGCCGAAACGTTGTGATAAATATGGCGACAAAGATGAGGACAATAGTCCGAATAATGTAAATAAAGTACATAATACCTAATCTCAGAAATATACACAGATACTGAAGGGCCGAAACGTTGTGATAAATATGGCGATAAAGATGAGGACAATAGTCCGAATATTGCACATAGTATAAGAAAAAGGCTTGCCTTTCACATGTATCTGCCTCTGGTTACTATATTTGGTAAAGATTCGTTGAAATTATCCTAACTTAACTAAACAAATTTTCAAAGTCAGCTAAATCTCTATCTATTACTCCACAGTGCCTCCTTTTTATTATAAATTATAATAAATTGTTTTGTTTGTGTTAATAAATAAATCAGGGGAGAAGAAGAGGATTCATACCTTTCCCAAGGGTATTAGCACGTAAGTGAATGTAATGGATTCGACTGGAATTCGAACTCGGCTCCTCTGATTCCTCAATCCATTACTCTACCTTGCTCCACAAGGTTTATATTAAACTACTTTTCAAGTTCAATTTTGCTTTTAATGTGGTAAAGAAAGGGAGTTCCACAAGCGAGAAGTGCGAGAAAAGCAACTCTCAGCATAGAACTTATGGTTACATTTTACCAACTAAATTGTATGTTGCTGAAACCACGTCAGAAGTTTCAATACACATTCTCTCCCACTCAGTAACTATTAGTGGCTGTATTGGTGTGAAATGGTTTAAAAACACGTAAGCATTTATCTCACGTCATTTGCTGATGAGTCAAGCTTGATTTCTCCAAGACACAAGCCTGGACGATGGAATGTGGACGCCTTTTGATACTCAAACCACATGCCCAGCCCGTACCGACAAGATGAAATTGGGGTTAAATTGCTCTTCAGATATCACATATAGTTCTTATTTTAGCCCTGCTCAGCTATTGTTCGCGAATTTTCCACTGAGTTCACGTGCACACAAGCCGGTCCAGGGATAGAGCTTAGGATTCCCATACCAGAAAATTCACGGGCCGTTACTATAATCCATTTGGCTATTATCCTGGGTTATATTAACAGCAAGTGTTATTTTGTCCTTGTTCGCAAAGAAACGTTGTAAAGATGCCATTTCCGCCTGTTGAAGCTAATTCTTCAAGTTTATAAGCAGTTCTTGCATTATCATATTTAAATTCTACTTCTTAAATTATAAAATAAATAAAATAAAATGAAAGGTTTTATTATAGAGGACATTAAAAAATTATAGAAATGTATTTGATGGTAATTAATTTGGAGAGCTTGACATTAAAACAATTAATTCATTACGATTTATGACTTGTAAGACATTTTATTCTGAATGTTTAAAAAATGACTTTAATATTAAATAAACCAACAAGGGTTGACATGTCGTAAAATAAACCAAGCAAAATGCACAGGCACTGATTCTTTTAAAGAAAGACTCTTTCTTTTTCTACTTTCTTTCTTTTATTTTCCTTTTCTTCTTTTCCTTTCTTCTTTTCCTTCCTCTCTGCCTTTTTTCTTTCATTATGCTTCTGATTCTCATGATTCAATTCATTCTTACTTTCTTATCAGTTTTCTTTCTTCCTTCTTTTCTTTCTTTCTCCCTTTCTCCATTTCTTTCTTTCTTTCTTTCTTTCTTTCTTTCTTTCTAATTCTTGTGATTCAACTCTTTCTTTCTTAACAGTTTTCTTTCTTCCTTCGTTTTTTTCTTTCTCCCTTTCTCCATTTTTTCTTTCTTTCTTTCTTTTTCTTTCTTTTTTTCTTTCTTTCTTTCTTTCTAATTCTGTGATTCGCCTCTTTTTTCTTATCAGTTTTCTTTCTTTCTCCCTTTCTTTCTTTCTTTCTTTCTTTCTTTTTTCTTTCTTTCTTTCTTTCTTTATTTATTTCTTTCTTCTTATCTTTCATTCTTAATATTTCTAATTCTTATAATTCGACTCATTCTTTTTCCTTCTTTTCTGTTTTCTTTATTTCTCCCTTTCTTCTTTCCCTTGTTCTATGTTTCTTTCTTTCTATCTTTCTTTCTTCATACTTTTAATTCTTATGATTCAACGCTTTTTGTTTCTTATCACTTTTCTTTCTTCTTTCTTTCTTTCTTTCTTTCTTTCTTTCTTTCTTCATATTTCTAATTTTTATAATTCGACTCATTCTTTTTTCCTTCTTATCAATTCTTTTTCTTTCTCCTTTTCTTTTTTCCTTTCTTTCTTTTTTCTTTCTTTATACATTTAACCTTTTTGTTTATATTCTCTCATTTTATTTTTTTATTTTCTTCTTCTTAATTTCAACTTTTTAACTCTCTTTTCTTCGTTGTATATTTTCTTTCATTTTTTCTTTCTTCCATTCTGCCTTCCCTTCTTTCTTTCTTTCAACTTTCATCTACACTAGAAATATTTTCTGACGAATTTATTGTTTTAAAACTTTTATGAGAGTAAAATTCGAACTTAACATTACAAAAGAAATCTCCCACGAGAATCGAACTTGTGAGTTCAGGTGAAAATGCTAATAAAACTTTTATTATTTATCCTCCAATTCTTCTTCTTTTCCTGTTCGCCTTTCTATTTTGGTTTCTTCGTCTTCTTCCCTCCATTCCTTTGTCTTCATGTACTTTCTGGCCATTTTTAACACCTCATCATCATCATCATCATCATCATCATCATCATCATCCCTTTATTGCTTCGTTTTTTAAATACGTTTTACAAGTTTTGTTTATAAATTCTTTCTTTCATTTATTTTTTTATACGTTTTGTTCGATATTTTCCTCTTTTTTCTAACTTCATTTTTTCTCGTTCTCGTTTTTTCTTCTTATTATTATTATTACTTTTCTTCTTCTTCTTCTTCTCCTCCTCCTTCTTCTTTTTCTTCGTCTTCTTCTTCTTCTTCTTCTATTTTATCTTCTGCTTCTACTTCTTCTTCTTCTTCTTCTTCTTCTTCTTCTTCTTCTTGTTCTTCTATTTCTTGTTCTTCTTTTTCCTTTTCTTGTTCTCCTTCTTTTCTATTTATTTTTCTTCTATTTCTAGTTGTTCTTCCTTTTCTTTTTCTTCTTTTCTATTTCTTCTTTTTCTTCTATTTCTAGTTGTTCTTCTTCCTTTTCCTCTTCTTCTATTTCTTCTTCCTTTTCTTCTTCTTCTTTTCTATTTCTTCTTTTCTATTTCTTCTTTTTCATCAAATTCTTGTTGTTGTTCTTCTTCCTTTACTTCTTCTTCTTCTTCTTCTTCTATTTCATTTTCTTCCTTTTCTTTTTATTTTCTATTTCTTCTTTTTTCTTCTATTTCTAGTTGTTGTTCTTCTTCCTTTTCTTCTTCTTCTTCTTCTATTTCTTCTTCTTCCTTTTCTTCTTTTCTATTTCTTCTTTTTCTTCTATTTCTAGTTGTTGTTCTTTTTCTTTTTCTTCTTCTTCTTTTCTATTTCTTTTTTTTTTCTTCTATTTCTAGTTGTTGTTCTTCTTCCTTTTCTTCTTCTTCTATTTCTTCTTCTTCCTTTTCTTCTTTTCTTCTATTTCTTGTTGTTGTTCTTCCTTTTCTTCTTCGTCTTCTTTTCCTATTTCTTCTTGTTGTTCTTCCATTTCTGCTTCATCTTCTTCTTCTTCTTCTTCTTCTTCTTCTTCTTCTTCTTCTTCTTCTTCTCCTTCTTCTTCTTCTTCTTTTTCTTCTTCTTCTTCTTCTTCTTCTTCTTCTTCTTCTTCTTCTTATTATTATTATTATTCTGTTTTATCATTTCTTCATTTTCTTGTCTCCCCACGTCTTCTCATCATCACCTTCTTCATCACACCCATCTTATTCTTTTCACAACACGTCTCTTCCTATAGGTGTCGTCTGCTTACTTCCATTCCCACTGCGTTCTCCAGAAATACCTTCCTTCCTCCATTTCTTTGTAAGCCTTGTAGTTTTTTTATTACTTTTTTTTTTTTGGTGGCGGGGATTTGAGAAACTCACAAATAAATAAATATTAAAAAAAAAAAATAGAAGTTCTCAGTTTTTATTTCACGCAGATTTACCAATGTTCAACGCTATCGGCGGTTTCACGTGTTCGTCTTTCAGCCATCCTTCCCGCCTCTTTTCCATCGTGAATTGTTAGTCGTAACAATATGAGAAGGATGCTCCGTCTATTGGAAAGAGAGAAGAAAAAAAAAAAGGAAAGCTTAAAATATTTTCACTGAAATAAATGGGGCTATTTTGATGGCATTACGTAAATAAACTCTTCATAAAAATTCCGAGTACTTTCGGCTTCGTTTCGATTTTTCCCTTCATTCCAACATATTTGTAGTCGTCCAAGTACAGACGTTCACCAGTAAACAAGGAAGCATGCGGGCGGGGTGCGTAGTCAGATCGACTGATACCATTGTATAAAAGCCATACACGAGGTTCACGCTTCCTATGGAATCTGCTAAATAAAATAAAGACAGATTTATGATGAA